GGGGGCGCAGGCGGGCGAGGTCGGGTTGCTATGCTCGCGCCAGACTCAGCACCCCCCCCCCCCTTCCAATTCCCTGACCAAGTTGTCACGAAGCCGGGCGCCGTAAATGCTCGTTTATGTATGGTCGCCCACTGTCACGGTTGCCCAGTACTGACGAAAGAGCAACACAGTGTGTCCGTATCTCCCCTACGCATCGCTCTATGCTGTTCTTTCGCGCTAGACCTAGACCGAAGAAAGAAATAAAGGGGAGGGGGGGGGGGTCACCTGAGCGGCTGACTATATTCGCAAATATTACCGTCGTTTTTACAGGATTCGTGTCGCGCCTGTCGCTTTTATGCACACGCGTTCTCAGAATAACGTTTCGTGATGACACTCAATGCCTTTGTCGTGATGCACTTCTACACGCCCGCGTATAAAGGAATAGGACCGTTAACCAGAGTGCAGAAACATTCTGCGAGGCACGAAACTTTTTCTGCTAAAAGTCAAAACTTGATTGGGTTTCCTGCAACTTGCAAGGGAGAGAGAGACTTCAAAAGTTCGAGTTTCGTCGGCAACCGGCGGCGAGCTCGCGGCAGCGTCGCGCCTCCCGCTTTGTTTTGTTGTGATCGGGCTCAAGTGTGAAGAGAGTGGGGATCGGCAGGAGGGCTATCACGGAGCAGGTCGCTTCTACTCGGTTCTGCTCCCTCCCGGTCGGGTTGCGAACCACTCCGCTTGGGTTGCGAACCGGGAGCGTTCGCAACCCAAGCGGAGTGGTTCGCAACCCGACCGGGAGGGAGCAGAACCGAGTAGAAGCGACCTGCTCCGTGATAGCCCTCCAGGTCCGCCCGTCCGTCCGTCCGTCCGTCAGGCTAGCGGCACGCGCAACTCTGACACCTGTGGCTCTGTAGATCTGCACAGGGCGACTATTCGAAAGTCGTGGGAGAAGAGGATTTTTCAGCCGCCTGCTTGTTTCCGTTTCCGGAAGTGCCCCCCCCCCCTCTTACTTCCGCCCCGGAACTCCATTGCTTTAAGCGGATGTCCCCTCCCTCCGCTCCGGAGGGGCCAAGTGCAGGGTGCGGAGTGTTCGCGCGCCGCTGCCGCACCTCGGCGGTATAGGATAGGAATATATACTTGGACCAGACCCGCCACGCCCCGTGCGCTCCTCACTGCCACTACCGCATTTTGGACGCCATGGCCGATGTGCCACGTAGGTAGGTATCCGACGCTCGCTCGCTGCAGCCGATTGATTCAGAAAAAGAACGTTTAATAGGATGCGTTGCCCCCCATAAGTGCAACATGGACGGAGCTATATGGGGGG